GTTAGATATAGGTTGAAGCAAGAGACTTCAAGAACAAAGAAAAAATTGACAAAGGCAGAATAATAATTCAGATTTAAGGACTCTAATAATGTATTTTAAAGTATCTGTTAACTTTGCCCTAGCACGGCAAAAAAGAAAAAGAAGAAAAATTAGAAAAGAAAAGCAAAACACAAGCAAAGGTCAAAACATCTCTGATCTCATGGAGGCTAAAGCACTAAACAAGATTCAAGAGGAATCAAGACCAAAGATCATATTTGCAACCCCAAAAGACTGGTTAACAAAAGTAATATATCAAATTAGCATTAAAGATGATTTACAATATAACAAAAAATGTGGAAAAAGACAAAAAAAGATCTTTTGGTGAAGTGGATATATGGACGGAAGTCCTAATGAAACTTGAATACGAACCCACTGCAGAGCACAGTAATACCTAGACCATGAGGTGTCAAGAATTGGAAAAAGAAAAAGAAGGACACATTATTAGAAATACTAAAGAAGATCTTTGTAGAATATCTTAAAAATCAGAGGATCTTTAATGAAATACAAAAAAGATTCTTGGGAAGAAGTTCAAGTTTCAGAAAGAAAAAAAGAGTAAGAAGAACAAGAAAAGAAGAGAAGAAGATCTCTATACCCAAAATACAAAAGAAAGAGAACTCAGGCAGACTGATTAAAACCTCAAAACAAAGAAATTGAAAAAAAACTTAAGGTACTTGAAGGAAAAGAGAATGTATAGAAGAGTATTCCTGGAAGAAACTAATAGATCAAGTTCTCAAGCAGAAGAAGAAAGGAAATACGAAGCTATAAACTGGGAAGAAAACATTATAGAAAAGATCAAGAGAAGACTTTCAAGACCCGGGTCACAAATTGGAAAAGACAGATTAAACTGAAAGAAAAGGAAAAGGAAAAAAATATAATCACGAACGAGAAAATTTTGGCAATATCCCTGTGTTAGAAAAAGAAGTGTCTTGGTTTATTTATAGAAAATTAGGTTTAGAATTTTGTTCAAAAAAGGTGGATAGTTTAGAAAGAGAAAATTATCAATATAATGTAGTTAAAAATTCGTTCGTTTTGAAACTGTCTTGTGATGGTTTCCTAGGCTAGCTTGGTATAGCCCTCCGGTACGGACAATAGCCTTAATCAAAGTTGTTGATTTGATATTGAAAAATATTTTTTACAAGTTATTCAGGATTCGATATGAAAAATATTTTAGGCTTTTAATTATTTTATTTGTTTTGTATTTTATTAGTTTTTTCAATAAAATTTTGTCTAGTTAGTCATAAGACCAACTAGAATTTTTTTTACATAAGCAAAAATGTCTAAAAGAAAAAGAGAAAATAATATTGAAGCTGAAGACGATTCTCAAAAGAATACTTCTGAAGCTAAACTTAATTATTATTTTGATTTAAAAAATTATGAAGTTTCAAATGAAATTGATAATAACGCATATAGCGTAGCATTTCCAGATAAACAAAAATATTATGAATTTATAGAATTATATTTAATATATTTAAATACTCGTATTGCAGAAAATAATAGAATTATTCAAATGTTGCCTAAAAATCGTGGTGATTCTAATTTTTTCAAGGCAAAAAAATTCAAAGAAACTTTAAAAAAGAACAAAAGTTTTGCTGAATTTTTGGTAAAACATTTAGAAACTAAGATGGATGAACTTGAAGAAGAAATTAATGAAGTAAAATAATTTTGTTATATTATTTAATAAATATATATTATCTGTTTAGTCTTTAACCAAACAGAATTTTATTTATGTAAAAAAGATGCGTTTGTGAAACAATTTGAAAGAAATTTCTAAATCAAAATTTATGGTTGAAAGTGATTATAACTTTAGAACAGTATATTACAATGGTATACTTGTTCGTAGGAGTGAACAAAATAGTAAAAAACCTAAACCAAAATATGTGTTTAAACATAAATATATCAGAAAGAAAAAATATAACTTTTCGATTTGTTCAGATTCTATTTATCAGGATGATTTAGAATCAGATTGTTCAAAATCAACATATATAACTGATAATGGTTTTGTAGTTAAAGATAATTTTAAAAACTATTATTTTTTAATTCAGAAAAATGATGAATTAAGATTTGAAAGAGAAGAAAGAAAAAAAGATTCTGATTATAAAAGAAAATATATAGTGAGTCAAAATGGTGTTATTAATAATAATAACGGTATTGAGTTTAGTGATATAGAATTACAAATAGATGATTCGGATGATGGATTAATTTCTGAACAAGCATTAAATTTAGCATTAGTAAAAAATAATTCTTGTTATATTTAATCAGTCTTAAGACCGATTAAAAATTTAAATACGTAATTTAACAAAATAGTATCTGAATACGAAGCGGCAAAAAATCAGTATAATAGTTTATCTGAGTTTAATTCAAAATATTATACTTTTATTAATGTTTTGAATCAAATTGAATGTCAAGTATTTACTATCGATACTAAAATACCTATTAGTGAGATTAGACTTCAAATTAATATCAATAACAATTTGTTGCAACAGACTAAATCAACAATTGATAAATATGAAGATAAAAGAAGAGAATTTTCTTTGTGTTTTTTAGTTTCAGATTCTAAGAAAATCTGGTTGAGTCGTCGTAATAATCCTGACAAAGATTACTATGATTGTTATCAAGCAACAGGTGGTACAAAAGAAAAAAATGAAACTTTTGAACAATATGCTTGTAGAGAAGCTAAAGAAGAAACAAATATTGAATTAAATGAACTTGAATTTATTACTTTTCAAGAAGAATTTAGAAAATTTCCAGATAGGAAAACATGTTTGTATAAGACAGAGATTTATTATTCTATTATTGGTAATAAGATTCCTCAACAAACTGAACTAGAAAAAAATGATGAATGGCAACAATATGAATTAAAAGATTTACAAAATCTTAAAGTAACTGGTTCTATTAAAACAAATTACGGACAAATTTCTGAGACTATTAACAAAAAATTTAGAAACAAAAAGAGACGTAGAATTGAGGTTGAAAGTCCAAAAATTGAAGATATAGAAGAAAGTCCATTACAGTGAAAATTTAAAGAATAGTTTATTTTTTTTATTTCTTTTTATTTTTTTTGATTTTGTAATTTATTAAATAAATTAATCTAACTAGTTTTTAACCAGTTAGATTTTTTATTATATAATTTCGAAACTGAAGAATATAATAAAGATGAACATTAACAATCTACCAAATGAAATTCTAATTTTAACACTATACCATATCTTTCAAACAAAAATAACTCTATCTGATTTATCAACCACTCTATTGATCAAATTAGTTTGTAGAAGATGGTATAATTGTTATCTTTCATTATTCAAGAATCATAGAACCAAATATATTTTAACACCTAATATACATACAATTGAAGATTATACTCCTATTAAAAAATCAGAATATTATTTTAAAATTGATGATGGAGTGTTAGTTATAGAAATTAATAATTCAATACAAACAAGACTACAAACTTATGAAGAATATGAGCTTTCTAAAAAAGAATGTGACCGATGTTTAGAAAAACAAATTCTTTTTAAGCATAGTATATGGTTTAAAGATAAAGTTGATTGTGAAGTATCAAAATGTAAAAGAAGAAATCGATATCATCATTGTCACGAGATTTGCAAGAAATGTTATGAAATTTATGAAATTTATTCTTTAAGTTTTGATGATTTGGTTTTTTTTTGTTAAACCTTTAAATTAAAGTTTAAGTCTAATCAGTTATTTAACCGATTAGAATTTTATTAATGTAATCTGAAAAGATTTATACGTAATTTAAATGAAAGACGATTTTTTTCTTGATGATTCTGTATGGAAACATTTTTTTCAAAAACTAACTGAAGAAACTGATAATTTTGAATATTTTGTTCAAAAAATAGCTGGAGTATTTTGTTTATCAGCTGATGAAGTTAAAGTATATCAAAGCAATAATCATACTGATATTATTGTAAAACATATCGATTCAAAACAGGAAAAACATTTTATTAATCTTATTTATGATAATAATGTAGAAATAAGTGTTAATTTTGGATTCCTTCTTAGAAAAGATTTTTGCCGTTATTGTTAAAAGAAAAATTAAATTTTTTGATATATTTTTGTTTAGTTTTATTCTAGCTAGTCTTTTTGACCAGTTAGATTTTTAATTACGTAATTCTGAAATAGCTGATAAGAAGGTGAGTTATATTCACTTAATAATCATATTTGTGCATGCTGCTCTTCAGGCATCAGGAATTTATTCTGGGAAGAGAATTTTTTTTTGAAATTTTCTCGAAGATAAATTTCATTTTTGCTAGAAATGCGAATGTATAGACGCCGCAACCCATAGAGTGAAAAATATGTTTTATTAATTTTATTTTATTTTAGATATCGAACTGGGCAAAAGATCATACTTTCGAAAGTGATCTTCGTAAATTATTTAACCAGAATAGGATAATTGCCCATATAATTCAAGTTACTGAAGGAGATGGTGGATTAGATTTATTACTATCATATCAGGGTAATCAAATATGTGTACAATGTAAAGATAGAGAAAATGCTCTCACATTATCTATATTGAAAAAATTTGAATCCACAATGACACATTTTAAAAATTCATTGGAAATTTTGGTTTATAATAGTAAGACCATGAAAAATGAAAAATATTTGACAAAACAAGCTAAACTTTGGTTGGATAATTCATTACAACAAATAATTGTATGTGATGAAGAACAAGTTGTTAACAGAATCATAAACTTTTTTAAAAATAATGAAGAATCAGAATTAATTTTAACTGATTTTCAAGCAGAGAAATTTTTTTTGAATGGAATTGATTCTGAGAATGTATATATTAGAAAAATTATATTAAAAAGAAATGTCTGATATTCTCCTTATAAAAAAATTATTTAGTAAACATTTATCGAATAAAAATTTAATTACGTAAAATAGAGTTAATTTTTCGAATCGTGGATAGTTTATTTATTTTTGTCATTTTTTATAGTTGTATTTATTATTTTTACAACTTTTTAAGACCAAAA